CAGAACGACAGATGAACAGACAGAACAATAGACAGACAGACAGACAGACAGAAAGACAGCAGACAAACAGAATGACAGACAGATAGATAGAACAATATGTAGCAAGACAGCAGACAGTCAGAACAATAGCTAGACAGACAGACAGACCAACAGACAGAACAATAGATAGACAGACAGACAGACCAACAGAACAATAGGTAGACAGACAGACAGACAGACAAATGACAGACAGAACAATAGACAGACAGACCGACAGAACAATAGACAGACAGACAGACAAATTACAAACAGAACAATAGACAGACAGAACAACAGATAGACAGACAAAAAAAAACACAGAACGATAAGGTAAGTCTATCTGTCTGTTTGTTGTTCTATCTAGGTTTCTTTCTATCACTTGTTGAAGCCTTTGAAAGCCTCTGTTATTGTGCAGTAATTTCATAAATAATTGATCATGGAGGAACTCCCGGTGACGGAAGATAAAGTGCCGTGTCTGTTGCTATGGAGCTTGGAAAAAGACTTTGATACTTGAGTGAACCAAACTGATTTATGTCCAAACTCACAGATGTCATAAAACCTAATCACATTCCACAACAATAACAAAAAGCACTCGAGTCTCTCAGGTGTGCAGCATCAGCACTGCATTGAGAGATTCACAGCAGGTGAGGCTAAAAAAACAGTGACAGATGTGAGAGGGCTCATTATTTCGGATGAAAATATTACCAAACAGGACCACACACAAGCTCTTCATTTATGATGCTCTGAGAAAAACTCATACGTCATTATCCTCTATAACTGGCACAATAACAGTCTGGTCTTCTCCACGCACATGGAATTGAATGAAGAATGGAACAGATGAACCTACACAAGAGCTCTACAGAAGCACTCATGCACAATGATTATAGATGAAGTGTGGACTCTTTACTAACAATCTATGAGGTGGTTCGCATTAATGATTTTAACAGTGGCCATTTCATGCTAATTCCAGGAAACAGTGACTCTTTTCCAAGTTTTAAAACACTCATCTCTTAGAAAATAATTCTGTTATGCCACTACATAGCTTCTGTCTCCTTCACCTCTATGTTTAACTTTCTTTTGTTCCTTTTATAGTGAACAGACTTGTTTCTTTCCTAACAACATGACTCCCTCACCACATTAATTCTTTTTTGCAGAACATGCAGTAGAGCAGATCAGTGGTCTGTTTTTGGTGAGGGTCATGGAATTAAATATTAAAGGAATAGTTTACCCAAAAATCACCAATGGATCCTCTGCAGTGAATGGGTGCCATCAGAATTAGAGTCCAAACAGCTGATAAAAACATCACAATAATCCACAAGTAATTCACACGACTCCAGTCCATCCAGATTAGAAATTATTTTCTGAAAAGCTGCATTTTTGTAAGCAACAAATCCATCATTAAGATGCTTTTAAACTTCAAATGAGTCCCTTATAATATTGCTTTCTCGAGTGAAAAAGTCATCTCTCCTGAATCAGGAGAGAAATATGCACAGATCAAGCATTTTGATGTGAGAGGACAAAAGGGGATGGACTTTTTTTTTTACTGGAGGAAGCATTATTATGGATTATGAGCTTTATTTTAGCAGGAACAACGGTTTAAAGTTACAACGTCTTAATGATGGATTTATTTCTTATAAACACTCAACCTTTGACTTCACAAGACGTTAATTGATGGACTGGAGTTGTATTGTGGACTATTGAGATGTTTTTATCAGCTGTTTGGACTCTCATTCTGACGGCACCCATTCACTGCAGAGGATCCATTGGTGAACAAGTGATGTAATGCTAAATTTCTCCAAATCTGTTCCCATGAAGAAACAAACTCATCTA